TCACCCTCTCAGTTTTTAACACTCCAACAAGAGCTGGCCACCACAGAGAATAGAGGGCTGGTCTAGTGCGGCCACCATCTACCCCACCCGTGAGCTGCTCTTCCTCCGCTAGGAAGGCTCGATCCACCCGGGGCCCGTACAGACGCCTGCGCCCCTTACCGGCCTGTCGACCTGCATGATCTCCCACAGCACCTCGGCCACGTCCGGTAGGGTGTAAGGCGGCAGGCAGAAGCAGCTGGTCTGGAGGAGCTGGCTCACCAACTGCTGCCCGAGCTGTGCCATCACCTGCCCAATGAGCTCCTTGCGCACCTCAAAGTCCTCCTCGTGCTGCAAAGGACACACACAGGAGCACACTCACTCGCAGGCAACCCCCAACCCCTGCTCTCACCCCATCTTCCAGAGCTGCAGTCCTGCTTTAAAGCCCACGAACCCTGCGATCCCTGCGATCCCTGGGATCCCTTCAGCAAGCAGCAAAACCCTCTGGGCCCGGCAGAGCCTCCCTGGTCTTGTTCCTGTGGAAAACAAGCGCCTTTCTCCTGGATGCAGGCTGCGAGCACAGCCGCCCGAAGTCAGAGCCTATCCAATGGGCTGGAACTACAGTTCCCAGCATTCCCTACGGCTAAGAGCCGTACAAGCAACGTGAGGATTCTGAAACGACAACTGCATGTACCTGGGTCGGCAGGCAGCACGTTTTTTATGATTTGTGACGATGCTCTTCTCTTTTTTTGTAAGCTGCTAAAAGTCTGCTTGCGATCGGGGCGGGATATACATTTGAGTAATAAATAGTAATAAATACGTAAATAGCCCCAACGCAGCCAGCGGATGGCATGCCAGGGAAAGCTGGCTTATCTACCCAAGCCTATGACCAATTCTCGTTTCGCCAAAGGGAAGCCTTGGAGCACGCAGCGGGTGCACTGCCCTCACCCCTGAGGACCCCCCGCAGCCAGAGCTCAGGACTCAGCAGGCCCAGAAGAGGGGAGGTGCGGCCAAGCCCCCGGGGGGCCAAGGGGGTGGCGCGCAGCCAATGATCCCGCCAGCCATCCAGCCGCTCCACCCTCTGAGGACCAAGGGACAAGGACCGCACCCCAGGAGCCGGCTCCTTGCGTCCTTCAGGGACCCTCCAAACAAGCTCCCAGG